GTGTATTCCTTGTCTTCCAGCAGATATACAGGTGCAGTACAACCACAGGGTACTGTATGGCCTGTGTGCACGTGAAGAAGTACTAATTCAAGGGAATAAAAATATCCTATAGACAAGTATCTGATATAATAAGACCCAGAGAGTGATGGCAATTTACCATTGTCCTAGCAGTCAAATCTTCCCTGAATTTCTGACACATGTCAGAGGCAAAATATATTCTAGGCAGGGAAGTAACAAGGGACAGGGGCCAGAAGGAGCTTTTCTGCCAGGCAGACTGGAATTGTGCAGGCCCGGGGGAGCAGCCTCAAAGACGGTCATGAATCTTTAACCAGGAACAGCACTCGCTACAAGATAATTATCATGCAGGCAGCAAAAGCTGCAGAACACATGTCATTTCTGCACTGCTTCAAATAACCTATCCTGTTCTCTTAGTTACAACCCTCCGCTATTCAATAAGCAACACAACTAACATTTGTTCTTGGTGACGGAGCAACAGGTTGCCGTACAGAAGGGTTCTGCTCTGCTGTGTGAATGAGGAATGGAAAAGCCGGATGCACTTGCATCAGTGCTTCAACTGTGTGTGTGGAGGGGGAAGAAAAAGGGAAATCGGCCCAGAATCTGTAAGCCTTAATGCAACGTGATGGCAACGTACTGCCACAAGCTCTTCCCATGAAGGCAGCAGCTCTTATGTTTTAAGAATACGCTGAGTTCTTGCGGTGTTGCAGGCAATTGCAGAAGCTGCTGTCAATCGCTCAGTGATATTTTGCTTCTCTGTAAAGCAGTGACTCTAGAATGTTCTGCATGCATCTATTCATTTGAAAAGCACTAGTAATAAGCTATATAAACTTCTTGACATGGTAAGGTCCTCTCATCCCACTGCATGAGACACAGTACAGGATTTAATGAAATGGCTACTATTAGGATCGGCATTACTATAACATCAGATACTTAAGACTGAGTTTTTAACTTGCCTAGAGCAATTAGTTTTCCTGGATTTTGTATTTTTAGAACTAAGCATTGTCTTAAACAAACCATACAAATTGTCTTTTATATAATGAAGTGGGCACTAAGTTATAGAAGAGACAGTATTTTCCAGGCTTAGAAAATTCTCTATCCGATGGCAGAAACAGTATGTTTATAAAAGAGATCCCTGCCCACAGGGATCTTTGACCTCCAGAAATCCTGCATTTTCTTGTTGCCTTTTCCGACCGCACAACACAAGGATATGCAGCGGAACATCCGCAGTCTCCACACTTCACAGATGTTCCCCAACACCTGGCCTAACCATGCCACTGTTTCCTAAAACAGGGCAGGAAAAAAAAGCAGAATTGCTCTGTGCTCTCTTTTGATTCCAGTTAATAACTGCACTTCATCTTCTTTCTTCTTAATACTTACCCTCTTAAGGACATATTTTGCCCTCTTCAGGATACATTTCCCATGACTGCTTTGAAGCAGTCACTGTCTCCCCCCAAGTACGGCCCCCTATTAATGCACCTGGACCTTAGTAACAGATTCAGTATTCAGTAATAGATTTTCCGAGCTATGAGCGCTACAAAATGGCAATACACAAAACACAAACGCCTCCTCCCTTGAAATGCAGCATGAATAGTTTTGTCAGGTCTGCATCACTGGCTGACAATGTTTTTCAGCTTTTTCAAGCCCTGTTTTGCTGAAGCATATGTACTTCGTGTGCTGCTTTGGCTGGACATGCTCACATTTCCCAGCTGTGTCCATGTTTTGAGGTCAGCTACTTCCACAGAGAAATTCTTTCCATTTCCAGTGGGGGGAAGAGTACAAAGAGCAGAGTCAGGGATATAACAATTCCCCATTATAAGAGGCACCAACACAGCCAGTACTAACTGGCACCCATCTCCATAGAAATGCCATGTACTGTAAGGATAAAGAAAATGAGTTATTATCCTTTAGCCGCAGGGGAAGCATTCCCAGGCACAAGGAACAATGTGAGCTGCTGCATTGCTGCTTCTGCTGTTCCTGTACTATGGCTACAGCAGTGTTTCTCAACATTCATCCCTTGTATCCCTTCCCTCCAGGATACAGTCCGTACATTAGCCCTTGCCCTGAGTTTGCAAAGCAACTGGGGACACATGAGGTGGCTCAGTCCAGCAGCCACATACCCCTCCTGTCCTGCTATCTGAGTTTTCCATCTCTGCCACCAACCAAAGCCCTCTTAGAAAGGTTTCAGCCCCAGTGCCATTGCAGGGCTTCCTGGCTATGTGTATAATCCCACCCAGCTTTCTGTGGACATTCCCTGGGACAGGTTCTGCTGTGTCCCAGAGGAACATGCTTTGAGCACTACTGGGCTAAAGCACTGAGATTCCTTACACCACCAGTAAAGAAGAAGTGATGATAAATAAACTTTTAAGCCCTAGAACTTTACAGCAGTATTAAATAGACACAATTACATCCTTCACTTGCACTTTTCCTTCCTCACTCAAACAGGGGCAATCTAAAGGTACTCAGTGTCATGCAGCAGATAGCTGTGTTCACAGGGACTCCCATGACAGAAAATGAGGGCCGGGGAAACAGTTACCCAGCTCCTAGTATCCTTCAAGTTGCGATACGGCAGTAGAACAGCAGAAAACCAATTACTCTCACTGGGATCCTCTCCAAGTAATGGTGGTTGTCACTTCTCCAGATGGTCAAGATAACAGCTATTTGTACAGCTATTCCTCCCTGTCTACATCCTGGAGCTCCTGACAGGTCAGCCACAAGACACAACACTGTCATTTCAAACTAAGGTTTCTTGAGGCAGAATTTTCCATGACCCTTTTTCATCTGTACTCAGCAAATAACTCAAGAATCAATAGTGTCCACAGTGCAGTCTCTTAGCTGGCAAATCAATCTCCAAATTCAGCAGTGAGGGGATAAGTCAAAGCTACAAATAAGCCTGCAGAGCTCAGCTTGTGCTCTGCGTTACCATGGGTGGAGCAGCTGAGTCAGTGAAGAGTCTCCAGTCACACCAGGACCGTGTTATTTATTGCTGCTGAAAAGGAATGAAAGCAGAGCACTGAGTAGTGCTAAAGTAATTAAAATGGTGACATTCCTGGACCAGTTTCCTTTGTACCTGAGGCCTGTAGCTACAGGCTTATGATTCTCCTGTGACTTCCTACAGTTTAAACTGGAGTAGGCTGTGGCAGAGGTTAGAGAAGCCAAGGAGCTAAAGATTAGGCAGGTGTGACTCATCCTTGAGCCAATTCTGACTGTACAATATAATGGAGACAATAACACTGAATGGGACAGAAAGCTAAATGTCCTAAATCATCCAGCCAAGAGAGAGTTATGGGATTCATAGCTGCAGTTCGCAGAGAAGCCTGGACTAAATCTGGGAGAGCTATGCAAGGTGATGTGAACTGGCAGAGAAACATCTGGATGTACATTTTCCTTGATTCAAAGTACTAAAATAATAATCTACAAGCAAAAAAAGAGCAACAGGTGGCCTAAGGAGGAAGGCACCAGCCTTCAAAGGAGGCAGTTCACTCTCCAATTTACGTTACTCTCTCTCTCTTTGGCACCGAGAGGAGCATAATCAGCCCCAGGTCTTTAGTTTTTCTTTCTACCAGCCCTGTAGCCTTCTTACAGGCCACCTTTCTCTCCCCTCTCAGCATATAATTTCAGACAGTTCGTGTTTCATCACTAAATTTGGTTCTCAGGCAACAAAAATGCATCAGCATGTTACAATTAGCGGTAGAGTTCATATGCAACTGTACCTGCCTCTAAACCCACAGGAATATAAAGCTAGACATTGCCAGGCAGGGCCTGAAACCAGATGCAGCCAAAAAGTTAATTTGGGAGGAGGTAAAACGAAACACAGTACTTGCTCTTTGGCATTAGGAGTAATGTGTAATGATGTTGAGTTCACAGACTACTTTGCACAATGTGACAGTGAGAACAAAGTCAGGATTTGGAGGAAGATGGGATGAAATAGGAGATTTTCAGGGCCCAGGGAAATCAGAGTGGGGGATCAAATATCTGGTAGGTGTAAAGAAATTCTGAGTTTTAGGCAACAAAAGATGAGTGGGCTGCAGTCAAGGCATTGAGAGGGAACAAATCCTGAAATGAAGACTTCAGTAGCCTAAGAGCATTTTGATAGCCCTGGTTTGCTTATTGTCTGTTTTCTCCAACCTCTTACAGCAGCTCATTTTGCATCATCCCACCAACAGAAGTGAAATCTTTGGGGCGAGAATAAAACATACCACATCAATGCCACCATATTCAATTACAGTAAACGTTAAGTCCCAGATAAACACAATGGAAATTTCTGCTTAAAAGCAGACACCATGATGAACCTGTTAATTCTTTACATTGCCTTGTTATCATGTTATCTGAGGGTATGTGATGGCTTGAGCAGGCCAGTTATCCACAGGCTTCTTGTCTGGACATGGACTGCATTTTGCTGGCTTGGTTTGGGCTAAGGACTAACATTCATCTGTAGGTATCCAACTGAGTAGAAATACTCAAAGAATGAATCCAAACCAAGCTTTCTATCCCAACCAAACTGACTGCATATAACAGAGAGTCAGTATATTTGTTTACAGTTAGCATTTAACAGATATAAAGTGCAAAGTCAGTCAACCTTGTGGCCCTTATCCAGTTCCTGTTCAAAGTACTGAAACCTTTGTTGTTGTCTTATTTGGAAAAAGAACTGGATCACTGACAGAACAGAGCTGGAGCCAGACCTGTCCTGCAAGTTGCTTTATTTAAGTAATTCTGGTTTCTTAAGAAAGCAGCTTTGTGTATATATTCTTGTCCCTTGCAATGAGGTCAAAGTTATATGATCTGCCCAGTGAAATCTGAATTGGAGATATAAAGCCAGAAGGAGAAAGTGCTCTGTGGTCTCAGAGGGAGCGACAACACTTCTTTAAAACCTTGTAATCATTGACTTAGTGTTTGCTGTTGCAGCTGTAGGTTTAAAGGTGATGGTCAGTATGTAATAACAAAAAGGGGACACAAGATTATAAAGAGACATGGCTCCATTACAGAAGTCTGCTATTTCCTGCAGGACTCAGGCCCCGCACAGTGACTTACCATTCTGATCAGCCGCACTTGTTTTCTAAGCAGGATGGTTTTACTTGTTTCGGTGCTCTTTGGCATACAGGCACTTTGCTCCTGGGCTGCCTCTCCTCCTGCCAGACCAGCACCGACTGCATTGCTTTCCCCCGCCTGTGGTGCCACTGCAGTGGAGGAGGCTGCAGACCTGGCTCTTCGCCAGATCAATGCCGACCGAAAAGAGGGCTATGTACTCAGGCTCTACCGAATCTTCAGTGTCCGAGAACACCCTCAGGTAAGTTACCTGCTTGTTCTGTATCTCCTCCTCCCAGGAAGAGCTCTGTGTATATCACTATTCCTTAGCAATATCTATCTGAACTAAGAAATATTTCAAAAGGCAAATGTAATGTTACATTCGCAGGGCTCCAGAGGCCATGTCAACTTTACGCACAGATGACTAGAAACAGTTTCATCACCACTGCGGGCAATTAGAGAGCAAAGCTCAGGCACGATTCTCTGCTGCCTGCCCCTGGAATAGCTCCAGGCATCAGTTCAAATCTGGTATGAAGCACCACTACTCTGATTTAATTTCATTTTACACTTTCTTCCCACTGCCTTGAGCAGTTGGAGTGCAAAGGCTATTAAGTCATCGTCCGTTTAGCACAAAAGATGTAAGGGCTAACAGGTGTAATCACGTCCAGTTTGGGAGCAGGGAATTCCTTCACAGACCTCTAAATGGTGACTCATTCTCCAGAAGAAATCTGAAACCAGTGCAAGTGCAAAAATTACACTGGAAATCCATATGGAATATTGCTTTCATATCTTAAATATCTTATTTCTCTATGTGTGCTTAATTTATGACTATTTTGTGTTACAGTAGTTGAATCTACTGGCACTAGCCAGGGACAACCTGAAATGGGTGCACAAGACCCACAACACATACGGCACTGTGGAAGTGGGCTACTAACATCCCCTGCTATGCTTGCTTAATTCCCATAATCTTACCTGAAAGGCTGAGTTCTGAACCCTTGAAGAAAATCAGGCTCATTGCCAGACATTTAAAGATCTGTACTGGCAAGGATGTGACTGCTTCCTGCTCCTCTCACAAGGACGTAGTTTCTGCAGACACGCTGTGGCCTCCAGCAATCTGAGCTCTCACAACTAAAAATTCAGACTTTGCTGTGCTGTGCGCTATGATCTCTATTTGCTTTGCTCAGGTGACAGAATGCACCCACTTGAGAATCGTTTCCACAAGGGATGCCTCCGAGCTGGTCCAGAACCCAGATCACCACTCATGGTATTAGGCTCTTAGCCCCCCATCCTGGGGCTATATTCTATTGACAATAATTAGAGCACCCCTATGACCACCCTAGAGTGGGTGCAGCCATGCTGAAAACCACCTCATTCATCTCCCTCCTTTCCCTTCACCCGTGCCAAGTATATATCTCAGCACAGAAGAATTTTGGTCCTTGCCTTTCATTTTGTCTGTCATTTAATTCTCTACAGACTTAACTTACTGCCTTAGGTCATACTTTGCTCTTTGTTGATTTGGGGGTTTAATTTACTTTTATTCTTATGTTTTGCATCTAATATGCTTATCCTATAAGTAAGGACTTTCAAGACACTGCAATAACACATGAGAAAACCTAAGCCCTTCAACACATTTGTGTTGCTGCTGGGACTGAGTACATAAGCAGCAGTCAGCAATGTCAGGGATATTCATGGACAGTAACAACCTTAAGCAACCTTCTGTTCCTCTCAAAATATAAAGAAATATTTTTATTTTTTTTAATCAGTCCTTCCTCCCATTTTTTTAACCAATACCCAGGATAAAAACATTTCAAAGTTACTTCAAACTCAAATCTGCCCTTAAGCAGGTTCAGTTCAGTTTTGCTCTAATTGAAACTAATGAGCCATCTGCTATTAGCTTATATGCAAGTAGGACAGAGCCTTTCTTTCATACAAGATACTTATGATTAACTGCACTGACAGGCACTTAACCAAAATTACAAAACATGCCAAAATATTTCATTTCTTTCCTTCGCATCAGGTCACCCTGCCACAGAGGAGATGCTGCACTGCTGTCGCATCTCTTTTGGCTCCCAGGCTCGCCAGCACGCACTGCAGGGGCAATCCTGGCATCAGCAGCACTGAGGAAGGGATCTTTTTGGCCGTGGAGAAAAGATGGAAGTTTTTGTTCAATACTAAGCAGATATCAAAAGGCCTTTGCATAACAGTCTTTTAATGAAAATTAAAATAAGGATGATGAAACCTTCAGAGATCTGCTGAGCTCTGAATAAACCCCAAATTATCCTTTCCCCAGTGGAGGATGATACATAGAGAAGCAGGTAGACAAAAAGATGTGTAGATTTTATAATAACCTCATCTGCGTATTTGAGCTGATATTATACAAGAGAGCTACAGGCAATAGGAAATACAATTTGGTCCACCCTGGTTGCATTTCATATTTCCAAGATCACCAATCTTTACAATCAGTCTCCATGATTCAGCTGAGTAAACCTATCTAACATCAAACACTTTTGATTATAAGAACATTTCTTTAATGAGTGCTTTTGCCTCCAGAATACCTGAACAACCAATTTGAAAGCTCAAGTCACCAGTCCCAAAACCGGGACTCCTTAAAGATACACATTTTTCTTGGCTATTACTTTTTCATGCAAGATAGTCTTAGTGATGTTTTTTCTCGTAGAGGATATATTTAAAGTTACAAGCCTGTGCCAAATGCTGCACTACTCAGAAAAGCACACTTTCAGCAAATGACAATTACTCTTTGACCAGTCTTACTTTCTGTTTACTGATTTAACCTCTATTAGCTATCTTATTAAGGAGACATATCATCGTGGTATTTAGGTACCTCATATGTAAACATAAAAATAGGATTAGTTCCTTCCACAGAAGCATCTCTGCTGCCAGGTGTGGGGACACTGCCATGCCACTATATACAGTTCTGCTGCACCATAGTTCACTCTTTGTCAAAAGAGCTTTTGATCTTTTCACGACCTTCAAAACACTTACAATTAAACCTCAGGATTAGTGTAGGCAGACCCTGAGAGCTCAGTGCAAGGCATTACCCGATTACTTCATAAAACACTCAGGGAAAAAAGAAGGTATGAAAATACAGAAAAAAATATATAAAGCATAGTAAGATGTAAGAATCTAACTTAGAGACAAAGCTAACAAAACAATTTTCTCATTCTTTATAATTATTTTCTATTTATTTTGCTCTTTCATATTACATTTCAAAATATGTATGGTAGAGCTCACATAAAATCATCACCCCAGTATCTTTTCAGAGATCTCTATACTGTGTGATCAGAACTGTTTATGCCACTCGGTCTCTTCAGAACTCAAGAGCCTCTTAGTGTTTTTCCAAGCAGTATAAAACCAAAAAGGTCTGCAGTACTCCAGCCTTCACATGCCCGATTGACTTGTCTTTAGTCACTGCTAAACAGAAATCAAAACTGAAGCCAAAATTGTACAGATACTGGCCCCAGATTTCTACAGAACTCTTGCCCATAAAGCATTTTCTCCATAAAACAGTGAAATTGAAGAAGAATGAATGAATACTACTCTCAATCAGTTTTGGGTTTTTTCCTTCTTCAGCAAAGACACAATCTCAGTCTAAATATGCAGTTAACGTTTACATCTTAGTTCTTTAGGATGTATAAATGACAGCTCTCTTTCCAGCTTTCCACTACAGAAAATAAAATATGATCCTACTAAGCGGTATCCTTGATAAATATCCTGGAAATGTGCTTACCCATATTCAGTGGGAGCAGAACCAGCAGCTGCACCATGCAGCATCTCCTCTTTCAGCACCACATGATGTAGTCACTAGATATATGGAGCTGTACTTTTAGTCTTTCCCTGTCCTTCTCACACGGAAACGCTTGCTCAAAATTTGAGCCCTAATTGCTTTGTTCAATTTTGCTGCAGTGACCTGAATGAAGGTTTCTGGACTTAAGCACAGGCTCAGGACTCAAGCACTGGACTGAAGCTTTAAGTGAGTCAGAGACATCCACATAGGTCCCCACTTGCTGATATCTGAGAGAATATTTAAGTTGTCTGCATCAATGAAGTCCTTGCCTCTTTATGGCAAGTGCAGAGCACCCATGCTTGAAGAAGACACTAAGAAATAAAATATTTCTGTTTCTAATGCCTACTGGGAATGTCACATGTTGGCAGTTTTTTATTATTTGTGGTATTTATTGTCTCATTCTTATTGAAGACGAAATAACCTACCCTTCAAATCCAATCATAAGATGTAGTTGACAACGAAAACATCACCATGTTGAGTCCTTGTTCCTGGGTTCTGGTTGGTACCAGAATCAGAAGGATAAAACTGACTCCAAAAGGCTGTTCTTTAATTAAAGCTGGTCAGACACATCACCAAGTCTGTTCTTACAGGGCCTGAATCTCACCTGATTTGCCACAGTTGAGAATTTGTCTCACAGAATGTTCGGTTTTCAGGATATCTGTGTCCCACCTGTGTGTGTTTTGTTTCAAATATCTCCCTTTTATGTGTCCCTAGTTTGGTCTTTACAAAACTGGGATATAACCCTTGCTTTTTTTGTTGTCAGGAGATCACTGGTTCTGTCTTCTATCTCATCTTGGATGTAGTCGATACTGAATGCCATGTACTCAGCAAAAGGTTGTGGAAGAACTGTACGGCCCGACCTGCTCATAAAACTGTAAGGATTTTATTTTCTTATTTATTTTCAGGTATGATGGGTTCCTCAGGTACTACTGATGACAGCAAAATACCCACACATCCATTTTTAGTAGGCAGCAGAGCTTAGAAGATATCAAACCACATTTTTAAGGTCCACAGTTTTCCTCTGTACTTTCTAATCAGTTTATAGACTGGTGAGATTAATTTTTTAAAAATGAAAATAAAAAGAAAGTTTTTGACCAGAGCTAATAAGCAGACATAACTAAACAGCTATGCTAGAACGCTATTTAGAATAAATGTTTTACTTTTTATAACAACCCTGTAAGAGTTTATTTTAAAGACAGCCTGTCAAGAAGGAAATAAAAGTAACTCACTTTTATGTAACACGTGTGATTTTTAGTTTAGTTCAATTCCACTTCTATTCTGACAACTTTGCAAAAATTGCTCTGAAAGAGGAGAAAAAAGAAAGTTCAGCAAGATGAGCTGCAAAGACAGAAACTGATCTGAGACTGTTGCTACAGGTGATCAAAACAATTCTGAATAAGTGAATAAAACCCCTTATAAAATGAAGAATGACAAGAAAGAAGCTTCGTGAAGTTACGATTTAATTGTCCTGCACTGCTTCTTAGGTCAATCTGTTTTCATTTTTAAATGAAAAACTGAAAAAAAAATAAAACTAATTCTGCTCACTTCTGCTTACAGCACTTTCATCAGGAAAATGGCCATCCTGCAGACATGCATTGCACCTGTATAGCTCAGAACTGCACCAGGGAAAGATCTGGCCTTTTATTTCTAAAGGAGATACTTAGAAATGTGATTCATTGCCATTTGAGCATTAACATAACTTTTTTTCTTGGAAATAATTTCATGACTGCAAGGAGAAAAAGAACCACTCACTGTCTAGGTACTAGGTGATCAGTGCAAAGTGTGCAATATTAATTGTTTCTAAATGTTTATATTGTTTTAGGTTTATGGTCAATGTAAAGCAATTATCTACATTAATCAGGCAAGAAATATTGCTCATCTGAATAATTACGAGTGCACATTACAACCAGGTATGTCTTTATTTGACACACTCACTTTAAAAGAGGACAGGAAAAACACTGTGTCATACAGCATTACTTTAAATTTTAATTGTAATTATGGCACCCCAGTGTCTCCATTAGCTTTCAGCTGCCCTAATTTTCTCAAGTCAGTGATCATAAAGGCCAGTGTGGTCCTGCAGCTCAAAGCAGTGCAGTAATAACTGTTTTCATCTCTGGGAAACCCAGCAGGGACTTTATATGGGCATTTACCCTCTGATCCCCAAAGTATTTTTCTGGGTTTGTGAAGGAAGGCCAAGTAAAACCAGCAAGCCCACGGTCAGTAGGTTGAGCTCTTCTCTGCAGTGTCTCTGCAACATTTCTGTGGGTCTGCAAATTGATAAAGATTCAGAATCATCGAGTGAATCAAACCACATACTGTTGCTGCAGGAGGCGGGAGGACAAGTGGGTAGGGTTGGAGGCATAGGTGCATTTACAGTGACCTACATTATCAACATGCTCTTATGGTTATGTTTTCTCTAATGACATTGTCTTGTTTGAAAAAAAAAGTTCCTCCCAGATATATTTCGACAATCTGTCCTGACTGCCCAGTAGATGACTGCCCAACTGAACCCAGATATTTGGAGACTGCTGCTCAATGCCTTGCCAAGTTCAATGAAGAGAGTGAACAAACTCATTATTTTGCTGTCCTCAATGTCACAAGAGCTTCAATGCAGGTAAGTCACAGCTCATCTGACTTGCTTTAGCCCTAAAGAAGTATGGATCCACCTGTTAAACTTTATATGATTTGCTGTGTCTTACAGATTGTTTAGAATTTATATCTGTATAGTACAGAGAATATCTCTATGCAGAATTCTCCAGTGAAATGAGGATCTGCATTGATTCAAGACTTTTGACTCCATTTATTGCAAAAAGAAGGGTTTATGCAAAACTTAAGACACAGGTTTGTGTTCCAAAGTTTAGGACAGCTTCACTGTGAGCTCTTCTTCTACCATCCCCATGAATTACTGACTCCCTAATAGAAAGTGTTTAATAAAGCACAGTCATTCCTTCCAACACATACCTGTAATTCAGTGAATGAGTTTAAATACGGTTTAAAACTAATTTTAGACTAACAGAGAGTTAATGATCTTCTGACTAAATCCTGTTTGTTTACCACAGTAATATCCAATCTCTCCAGAATTCATTATGTATAGATGATAAGGTGGTTTTCCCTCAAACTGTTAGCTATTACTACAATACAGTGTTTAATCACTCCATTTCCAACTGTGAGGTACTTGCATTTCAGAAATAGCAAAAATGATCCTGTTCATTAAAGCAGCCAGAAATGATCAGCAAGGCACTGAAGAGGGTCTTTGGATATGCTATGTGGATGCTAACCTATTACAAAACCCAAATTCATTCCAACTATAGCTAATCCATGAGTTACTAGGATTATGCATATATAAGAAGTAAGAAATAACCAGGCAATAAAGCAGCACTGCCAAAAAATCATTCTCCTGTCATACAACTAAGAGTAATGCCCCAAGTATAACCCACTCCTTCTCCACTAAGCAGGGGTTTTACACCTATTTCAAGGTCTGTAGGATTCTTCCTGACACATACGCAAGGTCTAATTCTCATTGGTCTCTCATTAACAGTGGGTTGTTGGTCCTGCATATTTTGTAGAGTTTTTGATTCAGGAGACATCCTGCTCCAAAAATGACACGATTGCTGACATCTCCAAGTGCAAGCCCCTTTCATCAGAACTAGCTGTAAGTACTTTTCCTTATATAAAGGAATGATTTCTAAGTGAATATTTAGCCTATTCCTTTGGTTGTGTGCAGACAAGAATCAAAGCTCATAGGCATCATTATATGGGTTGTAGCTCTATACTGTCTTGCACCTGTACAAACTGCTTTAGAATAGAGAAAACATTTCAGCAAAAGTTTTGGATTCTTATCTAGAAGTCCATGTATAAGGAAAACAGAAAAAATGGCAACCAGAAAAAGGCGGGGTAGCCATTGCCTTACAAAACTGAATAATTTTTAAGGATTTCTTCCAAGTAGACAGACACAGACAACATATCACAAACAATGCATAAAGAGTATTTGCATACTACAGTCAGGTAGAAAATATTTAGCAACTATGGAAAAAATTATAAGAAAAACTGAAAGACTATAAATGGACATGCTGCTAAGAGATAACTTTTCAAGGCCCATCTTAGCTCAGATTCAAGCCATGTTACCCTCAGCTCAGTAAAAACCCAACTATTGGAAACATTTTTTTCATCGTTTCTTTCACTAGTATGGTGTGAAATTGGTTTTGCCTGAAAAATTATATGATGTTCTCTAACACAACTTGCCTGCATGGGGATATTCTGCTGCAGCAGAACTTAAGTGTGCTGTTGTAGTTGCCTCTTCAGTGGGCAGCTTATTTTTGCTGTCATGTTACCTAACCCTCATTTGCAAACATTTTCAAAATGCTGTTTGCCTTTGTAAGCCTGCCAATCCCAAAACACAAGTTTGCCCAAGCTGCTTATCCCTACAAGTAGATGCAGAAGCTGTAACTATTCAGCCTTTCGTAATCACTTACTTTACAAGATAGGAGCTAAGTATCAGTGCTAAAATGTGAAAAAAATGCTTGCATTTTCTTCTTCCAGCAAAAAGGTTTCTGCAAAGGCTCTGTACTAAAGAGTCACTTGGAACATGAACAGTTTGTCACAGTATCCTGCGAAATCTACAGTCTGCAGGTATTTCTTGATCTAATCCTAATATTGCCAGAGTAATATTTACAAAACAAGAACTGAACTTTTGAAAGCCCAGCAGTTTTAAAGTTTTCTTATTCAAAAAGATACAGGCTTCAAGAAAGTGATAAGGTGAAATCAGGAAGAAATCTCTCGTGATAAAACAGACTGTTGCTAGGAGGACAAAAAGGCAATAGAATAAGTATAGTGTCAATCACACAGAATATATTCAGAATGCTCTACAGAGAAATTGTGAATAATCAAGGGAACGCAAAAAGCAATAACTGTGTACTTACCCAAGTTTCATGCACCCATCTGCACTGGCATAAGTAGTTCCTCTGTATGTCCTTTGAGCTTCGGTTCTGCAGCTCGACTTTGCAGACTGGAATTGCAGCAGATCCTTAGCGTGAAGGGTGACGTTCTTCATATCTGAAAGAATTTGTAATAGCTTCAATATATCTAATGCTTATTTCCTGTTATTTAGGATCCTGCCACTGAAGAGGAGACAGAGCAAGTTAATCAGACACCTGGAAAATCAGGCCAGAATCATCAACAAGCTCTCCTTACAGAAACCAATCCTTTCTTCCCACATCTAGAAAAAACAGTGGGCTGGGTTAAAATTCTGCCCCCTTCAACTGAGGACACGTCTTTCCAGAATCTATCAGAAAGACAAAATGAACATAAAGATGGAAAACCAGTTCCACCTGAGGCTGTAGGATCTACGGCCAGTCTTGATGGAGAAAAGACTCAAGTAGACAACCCAGACTTGACCGAAGCAGCCACTGGACCAGTTATTCTCCCTTTTCCTGAAGAACTTTCTCTATCAGACTCATGCCCAGGAGAAGAAAAGGGGGTAAATTTCATCCTCCAGCCTTTGCTGCCTAAAAAACCTCCCAAAGTCTAGGCAGCATCCAATCACCTCAACTACCTGCAACATAATAACAACCACTATGGCAACCTGGTCTTTCAATTTGTGTAACAACTCTAAATAAATAAATTACAGTAAAAAATTATTACAGTCTTCATCTTTGGAGTTCTCAGTTTTAAGAAAGCTCTCGAGGCCTTCACAGAGTCACACCTGGTGTGTTGGTTTCTAAACAAGGAAGAGGACTTCAACATGGTTTAGCATTAAAGGCTAGTGGGTTTTTATTGTGTCACAGGTTAACTTCTTAGTTATAATGTGATGAGCTTAGCCCATTTCTTTGTTTCCTGTGGAAGATCTCAAGAAAGAGAATTTTTTTTCTAATGCTTTATACCCTCACTTAAAGCAAGTGGAAAATGTTACCCATGTGTGAAACCTCTGCATGTAATTCTGGCAGGTGGAGAGACAAGCCCAGGCTATTCAGATTCTTATGCTTCCCTGATCCTGCTGTGCAGGAAAAATGATGATTTACAAAATCAGCCTAATTCTTTCTTGAGATAGGTCATATTAGCTGCCTTATAATAAAAACCACAGGGACACTCTACAGCCTGTAGCTAAGCAAAAACAATTTCACTGAAGCCACATATAGCAATTGTACAGAAAATAACAAATATAAATAAATGAGGAGACAAGAAGAAAAAAGAGGGAATATGGGAAAGAAATCTCATTTGCGGCAAGGAGTACGCTGATATTCGCAGTAATTACGAGACTCGTCTGAGACCACAGAGCCTTTTTCCTGTTACCACCAGATCTGTAAAATCATTTGCTCAAAAGAAAATCAATAAAATATTATTGTTTCTGAAGCTTTTAAGCTGCTGAATAATCTCTAGAGATACTGGGAAATTTCTCCATTCAAAAAGTCTTTCAACAGAAAGTTATGGTTTTGTTAAAGTATTTTGGCATTATGCAATTTGATTGTCTTATTTTATTATTATAATAAATGAAATATAAATAAAATTATTGTTTTATTTTTAGTAAATATAAAAATATTTTTAGTATATTGAAATACTGTATGGAGCTATGCTCACAAAAATGTGGGGTTTTTTTCAGTTTGCAAAATGCTTAAAAACATAAATTTTATTTAAAGGAGTAATTTAATAGCTTCAAAGATTAAAATAAGCCCAAAAGTGATGTGTGAAATACATCAACTGAGCCAAAAATAATTCCATTTCAACTCCACGTGATGAGAAATTTCAACATATTTTGGTTTCATGCATTTCAGAGTAGAAAACAATTCAAAATCCAACAATCATAAAATTGAAATCCTATCCTATTCTTATCGCAGTATGAGCTCTAGGCTGTGTCAGCATTTCCCTTGTTATCAAATTACACAGCCTTGTTTTTCCCTTGGGAAGTTTCACCTTTACCAGCTGGGGTTTCCCTAACAGGGCCAGCATGTTCTACCTCCCTGACAGGAACTGCGGGTTTCCCACATGCCAAAATTGAGGATACCAAAGGAGTTGCTCCCTGCCCTCACAAAGGGCACTGTTGGCTTTAGTGAGAGAGGGCAAGAGCACTCAGGCAACAACCTGGCACACTTCAGGGATTTTCAGAACACTTATTTTGCCTCTTTTCTCAGTTAATTGCCGTATTTCTCACTTCTGCTATTTTATAATGTGGTTTGGTTTATTAACTGTTTGCTTGTTGATTCAAATCTCACATCAGTTTAATGACACCACTGAGATTTATATCAAAGTATGTAACCAGAGTCTTTCCCAAAAGGAGTACTGGAGAAGAGATCAGCTTCATTAACTGCCAGCCACAGCCCAGAATACCCCATTTCAGTTAATTCCTTCTTGACTACAGCTGCTTGCAACGGTAAATTGAATTGCAACAGCAGCAAGTGAAGATAAATGGAGTTGAGTTGGTGTGAACATAAACAGGGGGAGTTAAAGAAAGCATCTGAGAGTCTGGATCCACAGTTTTGAACATTAAATTTGGGTACTGTTTAGCCTTTTGCACAGGCAAGGGTCAGAAATGACATTTGAATCAATACTTTCTCTAGCCTGGATCTGAGATTTGAGTTCAAAGACTTCTATCAGTTAAAAATAAATACCAGAAGGGGTGTTTGTCTAAGTGGTAACTGTATCTGCAGTGCAGATCAGCAGGCATCAGTGGTCAGTACAGATTCACAAGCATTTCTTTTATTTGCTGTGGCCGCTCCAGCACAAAGTCCTGTACCCAGCTTTTAGTGTCACCTAGGCCACCACCAACGTTTGTCATAACTGAGGCCTGGTACTAATGTCCAAGACTGATTTGTTGAAGTAGGAGACTGAAAATGTACAGTTTCTGTGCTTCCTTTGTGCTCAGGACATGCCTGGGTATTGTGGCACTCCCAGATGGCATTAACAGCTGATGACGTTTAGTCATCATTACTTCAAATCCTGCTGCTGATTCAGCAGATTTAGGCCAATCTGTGAGTGGGCCAGCACGGCTGCTTTGTCCCTTCAACATGGACAAGTAAGGGCACAGGATGCAATCCACTGTCCTACTTTGATTCGTTTGGTAATAAATTAAGTTAAAACATTCAAGTTTCCATTGGACAGGGTCTTTTATTCAGGCACAGATAACCAATGGTCAGTGATCTCCAGGACTGTTGATATTTTTGCCAGATATTATCAAGCCTTTATCTCTGAATATAGGTGAGGCATCAGGAATGCAAAAAAAAAGGGGGGCAGTAACATTCAAAGGGTACAGAATAAGATATGCTGGCTTATTTATGCACATGTTGGCTATTTTAGATTTTTCAGACAACCTTCTATACTTATCCTTGGTCAATCAAAAAGATCTTAAAAAGCAAGGCCCAGATATCAAAGTTCTCAAGATAGGGTTTAAAAATCCAGATTTTTGTAAAATAAGTTAATTATAAATTGTATTGGTCTGACTTCAGAATCTGCCCATGGTACACACTTCATGGTTAAACATTTTCTTCTGCATCTCTGAGATTATATATGTTAAGCAGCTGTATTCAGAATATACATATATTATTTTGATTTCAAAATCAGATTTTAAAGACCTCCCACTAGATAGAATAATATATACTATACAATCACAACAGCTGGCAATACTTCCCTTATCTTAACCTACTACAACTTGTAAGTGTGAGTTAAATCTTGAATTTTAAGAACAGTATAATGCCACAAACCCTGAAAAAGCCAAATCCCTTGGAACTTCCTCTGACCCCATTCGTAACCCCAGCCTCTCAAGCCCCTTAGCAAACACATCAGTGTTGCAATATATCCTTAAGGTCACCAACTTAAAATTGGGGTGGTTTTTCCTAGAAAGCAATTTGCAGCCAAAGACACTGAGGACAGGACAAGGAATACAGACATCTTTTTTATTCCCCATATTAGCTCTTGAGGCCTCCAAAGCAACAAGACTCTTGTAACTACATTGTCAACCTGCTCACTTGACAGTTGGTCTCCCCTAAACAGCTTTTGAACTTAAGGTCTGTTTGAAAGAAATTTGATAGACAAGGTGATGGAGCTTCTAGAAGTTCGATAAAAAACTGGTGACTGGTAAAGAAAAAGGAGCTGCAGGCAGGGAGGGGAAGCTGCAACTGCTACTTTGAAGACCATAACCAAAGCAAATTTGTACATTACATTTGCATCAGAGCGGACCCCGTTTACACCCAGCAGATAAAAATGAGACACGCATGAAGACATGATGCATTTACATATTTTTCCATCATACTTGGGGGCATTTCTGTTAAATGCGAAGCTACCCCAGAAACTGCAAAACTTTTTTTTTTTTTTAATTGCATCAAGGTGTAAAATGAGGTCTCCCTGTTCTGAAGCTACGGGGCATCACTGACTAAAAAAAAAGTAAAGAAAAGCTAGTGAAGAATTCTCCTATAAGCAGCTGTAGCCACACATATCTGTTAGCTGTATTCTTGCTTAGGAGCAGAAACTACAGCAGCTGCAGAGTGGCACAGGCTATGAGACAGATAAGGCCTTGCTACCTGCATAACTGAGCTGTGCGATGTGATAATCCCAGCCTGTGCATGAAGCGCTACTGTAGAAGGCAGAGAACAGTCAGTGAGTGCAGCAGTTGTACTCCCAAGAAACCGGAAATATCTGTAAATAGTCACGGCTATACCTTAAGATATTGGTAATCGGTTATTGAATACTATCCCCTTTATTGGCCAGCTCTCTTTCTTCCCTCCTAGAATAAAGTTCTATTTATTAAGCATTTGATGCCTTGTTTTTCAAGAGGGGAAGATAAGCCACTTTTTGTTGTTTTCTCCCAGATTTCTGGAGAGAGGTTTAGGATGGATGTTTATTACCAGCTCCTTAATATTTGAATGTGGATCACCTCTTGCTGTAGCAAGTCAAGGCTTGGTAAAAGTCATAGAGATAAACAAGCTTTTGATAAGCTTGTCAGGGGAAATGCCATGTTTGGATAAATATTTCTATTCCTGTTTATAGAAATAGCTTCATTAAAACAACATGCAAAACTTACAAGCAATAAATATAAAAACAAAATAAGTATCAAAAAATATATCAAACTGGATGAGAAATCATAAAGATACATTAAACTGATTCAAGTACAACCAATATTTAATTAACTGCTCTAACTGTGCCTGAAGTGCTTGTCCATGCTGTACTTTAATAATAGAATCCAATCTTTCCCAAAGAAATCAAGGACAAAACTCTCTACAGTGCAAACGGAATTTTACTTTTAGTTCTGCAGTCAATTTTGCAGGAATTGTACATTTTCTACTCTTTATTCATAGTGTTTCTGTTACATACATAAAAAATACATAAGCCACTGTCAAGAAAATGATCGGTGTCACAATGAACAGCCCAGAACAAAAGGAGAAAAAAAGAACAAACAATCTGCAAACAATAGACGACTCAGGGAATTATGTTATAAATTACCTTATCTGACGCCTTTCTTCAATATGACTGCCCATTTGAAAAATTAAAGAGTATTGTAAGTAACGAATGGGGGTGCAATTTGGAACACAGCAATGATGTGAGTATTATTTTTAACTGATGAGATGTATTTCAAATGTCTTTCATTTTTTACACAACATTTATTTCACCACTTTACCTCAATCTTCCAGAAGAAATTCTGAATTATTACAATGAAACGTTATTAAAGCCCAAACAAAAGAAATGCCCTGCTGCAGCAGAAGAGTGGTTCTTCCAGCCCAGTATTCACCTCTCACAGTGGCAAAAGACAGTTGTGGTTAGGAGAAACATAGGACCTGCTCCCTCTCTGCAAATCATTTCCCTTGTACTTTTCCAGTGCCCAGGATCATCGTAGTAGGGATTTAAGAGTACTTATCTGCTTAATCTTTCTAGCATCCATGGACCTGCTGTCCATCAACTTTTCTAAGCCATTTCTGACCCTGCTGATACTGTCTGTCTCCACATCTTTCTGTGACAAGTTCCAGAAGTTCACTACCCATTGCGTGGGCATTATTTTAATCCATTTTCAACTGATCCATGCTAGCTTTGAGTGCCCCTGATTCTAATACTGTAACATTCTCCATTTAGCTTATCTACTGCCAGAGTACTGCTCAGTGTGTCCTGAACCAACTATAAAAGAAAGCCACTGCTTCAGTTCTATGCATTTTAAAATGTGAGTTCTCAGATACCAGGTAGACTAGAAAGTTGGATTTTTTTTAATAAGGCTTAATGAGATGAAGTAAGGGTTGAAGATGATTACTTATTCTATTTCCAATGTTTCTCAAAAAAATAAGTAAAAAACCCCTTCAAAGTCAACCACATAAACCCAAGTCAGTTATATACATAGCACCTTTTTGTATGAGCTGATCCAACCCTTCACATCAACCAGGATTTGGACAATTTCCCGTCTGAATCTGACCTTGTCATTTTGGATTCACTTTGAATTTTTGTATTTTCTTATTCAAAGCTTGAATTTTGTATTCAAACTGCAGTCACTCCCACACAAGTGATTACTGTGTTTTAAGAATGTCCTTAACTATCCTGAATAAAAGATTTTGAATACAGTGAGACAACATCATCTCCTTTCTGCTTAGCAGAAGATATTGGCACATCACTGAATTATTCTAATAAATACAAAAAAATTACCAGCAATTCTCTGAAGAAGTCTATGAAGGCTACTACAGGCAAAGAACACACAAAACTGCTCAGACTGAGAATGCAAAGGCAGCTTTTTGTCACATTGTGCCACGTGTAGATTACATCGGTATTAAGCCGGTCAGTCCATTCTGTGGACCAGTCTGAAATGATACAAAGCTGACAGAAGTCTAAATTTTCTGTATTTTCTTGAGCTGGCAGAGTAGCAGGTACTCACATGGAAGAGACAGCCCACCAGCTCACAGATGCACCCTAAGCTACATCTCTTTTCCAAATCTGAGCGACATCCTTGGTTCCCTTTCACTAGTTCTCTGCTAGGTAAGGATCTGTAAAAACAGGGATATTGATACAGCCATCGTTTGACAACAAATATTTCAGCATATTTTCAGTTCAACTGTTTTTACAGTAAACAGAAAACCAAGATTGTGTAATACCTGCACACATAAACTAGGCCTTCTTAATGCCAGGTGTATTTTTCATTAGTAAAACACTGTTGCACAATGCCTGCTTAAAGAATTACAAACATGGTCCCTTTGATGGGTACTCCAGAGAGTATTATAAGGCCTACTTTCCTCAAAATCTGCTCATTCACTATATAATCATTTACTTGCTGTTTGCAAATGTTAATCCAGGGTCAAGGTAATGGCCCTCTGACACAACGCTTAAATTTGTATAAACCCATGCCCTTTTAGCATTCCTTTATAACTTCGGTGGGCTACTCTGATTTAAAAGTAGATCACTGGCTTTATCAGAGCATGGGCAGAAGTGACCCAACACTGCAAACAAAATGCTGCTTCTAGCTTCAGCTTTTCTTCTAACACTACTGCAGTGCTTTAATGCCCAAAGCAAAACAAGCTTTACACCTGCAGACTGTAATACTGTGGAGGCAGATGCAGGAGTGGCCCTGGATTTGGTCAACAGACATCGCAGAGATGGCTACATTTTTGGTTTATTCCATATTGCTGATGCGCACGAACTACGTCTAGTAAGTATCAATTTAAAGGGTGATTTACACAAGACTGTGATTTTACAATAAAGAGCCAGATCATTGAAAGCGTATGTTTATTGCTTTTAACAGAGCAATGCTGATGTAAGTCAATGAATCAGCTCTGATTTACACTATCTCAGTATTCATTTGTGCATGATTTATTGTACGTATGCTTTATTTCGACTGATGCTGAATGCCCTCTATTCTCTTGGCCGACAGGATGTTAGCATAAGAGATGCTCTGAACAGCACCGGAAATTAATCTGTCCTGTGTGTTGTCAGGTCTCAGATGTTATGTTCAAAATTTATATTCAGAGGGTTTCTTTAATCTGCAAATGTCTGACATTAATTAGATCAATGTATCCTCCAAGATCAGTATTTTGTTATTATTCTAATTTGGGAGATAGCTGGATAACTGGAGGGAAGGGGAAAAGGCAGAATAAGCCAAAGGAGATGAAAATGTCGCTCTGCAGAACAGCAAAAGGGCTGGATAGAGAATCTGTATCAGTCATTTCCTATTTCCTTCCTATTTCTATTTCTGTTTCCTAGAGAGGGTACATAAGCTTTTCTCTATGACTGACTAAATGCCAAAGCAAACCATCAGCAGAAAAAGCAATAGAATACAATACAAAACTTCTTTAACTAGTAGATAAGAGACCAAGGTCACGCAGATTTACTAATGCACCTGGTTACCTTTTAGCTGCTCAGTTATGACACTAGAAACCAGACACACACAGAGTGTTTAAGAAGTGTATTGCACATCTCAGTATGGCAACTGAAAAAACAAGCTGGGTTTGGATGGAGCTGCTTAAGACTGCCTGTTAGAACAACAAAAAGCTCAGAAAGTGTCCCAAAGCCCAGATTCCCACAGGTCTTCATGTATACTTTCAAAAACTTGATGGATTATTTTGCTTTCCAAAGACAAGGATGTGGCAAATGATACTATTGGGTTTTACACAATAGCCAGGTAGTTAAAGAGCTCATCTAGGAAGCAATCAGTCGTCTTCAGCATTAAGAGATTTAAACCCTCAAGGTTCCCATCCTTGAAGAATTCTGCTGCCATGCTGTGTGTGTACCACCCCTGGGAAGTGGAGCCACGATCTTACCTCTCTTACCTTTCCATTCAGTGCAATTCCATAAATACAAATCAGAAAAAAACAGTCTTTCTATCTGTCTCTGTTCTCTGTCTGCATTTTACTAATATGTTGCATGTATGCAGCTTGAAATTATTGAGATTTAAAACAGAAATATTAACTATCCCTAAGCAGAAGGCAGGATGCTAGTGGGCAGGATGGGTGTCCAGGACAATTATATGCTTTTCTTGATTTTGCTACTGAATAACGTGAGCCTTTGTACAAATCCTCTAGCTCCTTTTTAAAAATAGAGACAATGCTAAGACATATGCATACTGCAAAAGTAGTGTTTAACATGACACTGGTAGACTCTTACTAATAAAATTACTACACTGGACTGCTATAATTCTTTCTCAAGGTCTCATCTATACAGAAACACTCTGAAAAGGGAATTTGAATGGGTGAGGTTTCCTAAAACCTGAGGACACTTATTGGCAGTGAAGGGGTTTGCATCATTTTATCTAAATGACAAAACAAAACGCATCTGTGTTCATTGTGAATGTCCATACAGGGATCGCATTAAGTTTAAATAATCCATTCCAAATGTGAATTTAGATTAATTTTCCTGCAGAAAAATAAAAAACTGCTCCTGTAGGCCACAGATAATTCTTAACACCATATCCCATTACACTAGTAGCCAAATTCAAATTCTGATTCTCCATCCTGTTTACTCTGCAGACAGAACATACCAGAAGAATTTCAGAGCTAAGGCTCCTAATGTTGTGGGGTTTATTACAGCTTTGTTGTGTCACTCCCTGAATAAACTGAGCAGGAAGCAAAGTTTATCTGAAAGAGTATCTGGTTACTAAGGTAATTTGAAATAGATGTAACTGTATAATTGGCTGCCTAGATAACTGATTTTCTAACAGACCAATATGTCCTATGTGAAAATCAGAAAGAGGGAATGGCAACCTTTTAACATTGGCATTTCCCCTACTTGATGGATGCCAGGTTGACAACAGATTCTTCTCACATGTTCTCGACAAAAGGGTAAGAGACAACAGTTACAAGTTTCAAGAAGGGAAATTCTGACTGGATGTAAGGCCAAAATAAATCATGGAGAAAGTGGTTAAGTACAGGAATGGCCCAGAGAGCTTGAGGAACATCTGTCTTGGTGTTATATAGAACACAGCTGAATCTAACTTTGAAGTTAGCTTTGCCTTGAGCAAGTGGCTGGACAAGTTGACCTTCAAAGGTCCCTTCCAGCCTAAACCCTTTCTACACTTACCAACTCAGAAAATAGGGAACTGGGGAAGCTACATTAAACATATCTACTTCAAAAAAAGTTTATTTCAGACCAAACATCTTGTATACAAACTCTTTTTTAACTGCACTTCTCTTCCAGGAAAATTCATCAGTCCTCTACTTAACTTTGGACGTGCTGGAAACCGAATGCTCTGTATTATCCAGGAGACACTGGCAGGATTGCGAATATGGTGATGTTTATTCCATGGCAAGTAATGGCACCCAGGCAGAATCATATCTCAATAATGCGTTGACTTCATCTTCATCTGAACTGCCCAGAAATTTCTATGTCACAAAATCTCTAAGTGAAGACTAGACTTCAATATGGCTCACAATAAAATAAAATCTATTGAATTCTAGAGTTGTTAAACATAAGCTAAAGGTTTGGAAAATTGTTGGCTCCTTAAATAAGAGCCACTTTATTTAACTGATTGTCTCGAAGAGCTGTACTCTGCATTCCACTGCTGGTAACAGTACTGATGTTTTGAGAATAATTTGCTGACAACTGAAGGGCACTAGACATTTTAAAAAGCATGTTCCTAGTATATTTGCCAGAAATACAACTGTTACATTTTGTTGGCTTTCTGTGATAGTGTTTGTGGTATGACAATGTGAAATATTGGTAGTGTCAGTACAGATATGATATGTAGTGATATCTGTTCTTTATTGTTGCGATCCAATGATGCAGTCTGGAAGGAGGACTACGAGTCCAAAACTTTATTTATATAGAAGTGTGGTGACACACACCGTGATACAGGATAAAGTGGTGACACAGGACAAAGCAGGAAGGGCATGAGGAGAGAAGAGAAAGTATTTACTCTTTTTATTAAGATGGGGAAAAAGAATAGAAAAAAAGGTCTGTCCACTTCTTGATAAAGATGTGTGTAACCTTGAGTATCTCTGGCATCCTAACTGCCCCGGCTAGCTACTATTATCTTGTCTATTCAGTCATGCAAATATGAGAATTAAAATAAAGACTCTTGTAGAGGGAGATCCCATTTTATCTGAACACAAATTTTGAGTAGTACCAGTTCAGACATTTCATTAATGACCACATCTGTTATTCTTAGAAGTACTGTACATTAAAAGAAGGCAAATTTCTATGATTGCCTACATCCAATTAAATCCAATGAAAATAACATCATCATCACGTATTCTTTTTTCTTCTCAGGACTTTGGCCAATGTAAGATCATCACATATACAAGCCAGCTGCTGAAGAGACCTCAGCTATATGGATTTAATTGTACATTAAGTCCAGGTAAAATAACCGCTGTTGTAAGCCAATGCATACCTCAAACCAGCCCTAGTACTATATTACAAGTCTGAGCACTACTAGTGTATGGAAACCGTAACAGATCCATTCATCTGCTTGCAATTCATATTTTAGATAATTCAAATGGAATGTTAAGAATGAGTAATAGAATTATGGTTACCCTACTCTAAAGCAGACTTTATTAATGTCAGATGATATTACCATTTCAGTCCACCAAAACATGTTAATGAATATCAGAAAAAAAGTCAACTTGGAATGCATGCCCATTTGGGGTGGTAAGATTCTAAGACAGAGCTAAAAGCTTTATAAGAATATTCATTTCTGACCAAACCAAATAGGTCTGGGTTTTTATCATGTTATAGGATCAACCCATATTTGTGGAGTGAAGAATAGGTATTTCACTTTCAAGGAAATACTTGCATTGCAGTTTCTAAGTTCGCTTTAAAGGCACATGCACGTTCCCTGCAGTATTACTATCCATTGCAATGTTAGTAAATTCTCTGTTTTCTCAGTTCCTCCTGATTTATTAGAGTGCAAAGACTGTCCAGTAAAAGTTGAAGTCTTAGAAGTCACCGAGCAGCATAAAAATATTGCTGCAAAGGCCCTGAAGAAATTCAACAGTGAAGGTAACCACACAAACTACTTCAATGTGGACAAAGTTGAAAAGACTTTAAAGATGGTAAGTGACATTTTGTCCTAAAATTACTTATAAACAACAGAATTTTATGAGCAGCTCCAAAACCACGGGACTAGAACTCGAATCCTTCTAGGTAGTATCTGAACTATTGCTTGCTGACTCTCAAAGTAAATAATCTGCTTAAAATTGAAGGTCCTACTTTCGCAAGGCTTGTTAGCAACGTTAATTTAGGCATGTGAAAGCAAAAGGATTTCTCATCTACTAAAAACTGTGGCAGTGTTATCGCATCCAAAATGTCAGAGCCTTCTCTCTATGCACATTTTTATTTTAAGTGTCGATTTGCCTATCATAACATACGAGAGTTTATTTACTAGTGACCAGAATTCTTCAAGGTGTACAGTCATGTGTATTATCTCAGTCATATAATCTGTCAACTGAAGGCAGATAATTTTATACTCTTAAAATATTTAGCACATGGGTACAAAGCAAAGTGAAGGCGCTCAGCATCACTTTGACTCTGCTGCAGAGCAAAGCAGCACTTAGAGCTCTGAAGGACAGGAGGTAAATTTGTATCTGTGCTGTACTTCTTGAAGAACTACTTGTTCTGGTAAATAACTCCTCCATCTTTGAGAGATGTCAACATGAAGATTTATCCTTTGAGTGATTTGCAGTATAACTCTCACATCACCACAATTTCTTCTTAATAAATACTGGAGACCTCTACTTAAACAGCACAGGATCATTCTGCCAACACATGTGTCAGTTCAGGTGACCTCTGCAAAGAGGTCCCATGACCCCTACCATAATACATGTTCATCTTGGAAACTGCCTACATTATAGCACGCCAACCCATTTCTCTCTGCTTTGCCTTTACACTTTGCCATCTTTAGCTACAGTAACAATTTAGAACGTACCACTGAATTTCAACGGACTGCAGAACACTACAAAGTATATACATCCACTTTTAACCAATTTAGTTAAACTAGTGAAACTTGTGTGCACACACATGCTATTAATACCTTCAATACAGACTTGAAATAAACTACTGCTACTACAGTTGGAAATTAAAATGAAACACCTCTTTATGGATTTTAATAGGATCACAAAGGCTTTCTCCCATTTTCTTATGGAATAACACCTTCTCTCTGAATAATGCCACTGACAACAGAGAAAGTAACAATCTCACAGTAACTGGCAGAATTTCATCCCAAATGAACATCAGCACTGTAGTACTATGTACTCCCATCACTGGAAAGGGGTGGTTGCATCAGTAGATCTCTGTATTTTCACAGAAGCAGCAGTTCAATTTAGGGAGAAGATTCTAAGGATGCTACTTCCCAAAAACACAGGCTGTGAAAGCAACACATACTAGAAAAAGAAATAAAGCAACCATTCCTGGAATTTATGAAGGTGTGAGGCAAGTAAGGGATAATTAATCAATTTTCCTTCCTGAATATGTGTGTATGTATGAACATTTGAACAGCACAACTAATGAAAGCATGAAGTAGACAGGGTTTTGACAACAATAGAAAGAATGGTTGCTTTTTAAAGTACAGGATTTTAAATACACTTTGTTTGACCTCTTGGTTTCAGACTGGCTCCCGTGAAGGTCACATTTTAGGATTCTCTATAAGAGAGACCAACTGCTCCAAATCGACACAAGAAGCAGATCAGGCATTGGAATGTGATTTTCGGGATGACTGGCACACTGTAAGTAGAGTCTTAAAATGAGAACTGATACAATGGGTGGCACCAGGAAGATCTTCCCACAATGTTTCCAAGCGTTTCTTATAAGCATGCATCCCAACTCAAAATTCAAAATCCAGCATGTCCAAGTCCAGATCATAATTTTACAGCTGCTCCTTTTTATTCTACAAGAAGCTAATCTGTACTTTCAAATCTAAATGTAACGGGCATCTGGCATATTACAGAGCCAGAACTGAGTTTTTCAGTTAGGATCTGGCTTTCACATTCATATTGTAGCCATTCCCTAGTAAATAATTCATGTTATTTTCATTAAAACTTTTACACTAACATGAGTCATAGATCTTGAAAAAAATATATGTATTATGTCATCTCTCTGAGCCCAGTGTTACTTTTGTTTTTCCTCTGCTGCAATGGAATAATTCAGGCTTTCTTGCAGATTACTGTCAAAGTACCCTCCTCACCCCACCTTTCCATTGCAATAATAGTCTATACCAAAGAAACAACTAGGCAAAATAATAATTTCAGGATAAATTATTTCCCAGAACAGAAATTGAAGAAATGAAATAAAAATATGGAAAAAATAAAACATGTACAACTTTTATTAGATTTGCATCCATTTTCTTCTGTGCCTCTTGTACTCCAGAAGACTGGAAAAGGCCATAAATGAACTGGTAGTGGAGCCAAAAGTTCACTAGAACGAAGCACAAGCCAGATACGTTGAGATTTTCAATTCTGTTCTCAATGCTGCCACCACTGGTGGATGCATGTAAAATGCTCTTAACAGTTGTAACCAATCATGACAGGATCCTAACATCCCAAACACAAATCAAGATAAAGCATCCACTACAGAAAGCATACGCAGAACCCCTTGCCCGAGTTCTGTGCTCTGGCATGTGAGCAGTTCCACACAGTGACTGGGCAGCAGGAGACAGTCACAGCAAACAGGATGCTCAGGGAAGTAATGCTAAAAGATTACAAGAAGTTATTTTTCAGAAAATAAATATGGAAGAAGGTCTTGCCTTGAGCATTGTCTGAAACAGCATAGCTACACAGTGTCTATTTCTGAGGAGCAAAATTTCAGACTAGCCCTATCTGAACAGATGTTTGACAAGAAAAGACAGAAAAAAAGGAACGAAAATCAGTAATCTACAGGGTACTCGTTTTAGAGACAGTAGTAGCTGACCAATTTCTTACAGACATCAAAAGAGAAGTAAGATGCAGAGCAGTAGCCCTCTAGATGCACCCAGCGAAGTTGTCTTCACAGTCAAGACCACTCAAAAAAGTCATATATTTTAATAATTATTAATAACTGGCATATAGCACTGGTCAGAAAGCTCAGGATCTAGCTAGGTTATGTCAGCATACTTAGGTATTGAAGGAACTAGTCTAACTTTTGAAATGTTGCACATTCAGTAGCTACTACTCCATCACGAGAACCCAGATATGCATTGTTGGTGTTCTTCTTTTCTTTTGCTTAGCACGTGGGATTCTGCAAGGCAAGAGTTATCAGTGATCCAGCTGAACCTGATGGAACAGATATAAGCTGTGAAATCTACCATGGCTGGGTATGTACTCACTTACTGAAATGTCTCTGGCTTTATCGTCATGGAGGGAGGATACAGCAATGTCACCGAGTCCAGACTGGCAGATTATTGCAGTGGTTCTTTATGTCCCTTTATTATTGCCTGGGTGAGATGCAGCATCTCAGGACAGAGTGGGTTTTGACTGCTAGGACAATCAAAGGATGAATTAGAATTGAGCTGTCCCTACTACTCCCTCCAAGAGTGTCTTCCCTCAGTCCAATCTTACTCCTCAATTAAAATGAGTAGAGATGGGCAAAAAATTCAAAGGAGTTCTAGAAAGCAGGAGAAGAGGAGGTGATTTTTGTTATATTTGGTATTCCGGTTTATATTGTATTTTGTTTTGATACATCACAAATTTTGCTCAGTGGGTTATATAATTTCATTTTGTTATGGTGTGGTATTTCCCAATGATTTTCAATAATCTGGCATTTCATCATCTACTCCTTCTATTTTGAAAAAAACAGGGGTTTTTTTCTTACAGATCACCAGAACTGTAAATGCAAACCTAGTAATTCCCATCTCTCTCTTTCTCACCACTTTCTTCTGTCCTATTAACATCACCCTTAATACTTCCTCCCCTGGTGTTTTTATAAACAGCAGCATGACTACGAGCGAAGATGCAGATATTCAACTCTGGGACAGCCACACGGACATTCCCATCATCATTTTGGTCACAAACATGGTCACAGACATGGTCACAGACATCATCGCAAGCATGGATGTCCACCCTTTTCTCAATTCAGACACGAAGACCCTGAGCATAACCACAGTTTCAATGAAGAACATCAAGACAGCCATGAAGAACCTGCTTCTCCTCCTTCCCCCCACAGTGGACCACATCACCACCTTCACCCTCCACATCACTGTCCTCCACCTAATCCCCATGGTGGACCACATCACCATTCTCCTCACCCTCCTCCTCCTCCCCATGATGGACCACATACTCCTCCTCAAGAGGAAACACATTCCTCTTCTCCTCCTCCCCATGATGAACCATCTCATTCTCCTCCTGCCCAAGAGGAATTACATCATCTCCCTTCTCCTCCCCATGATGAACCACAGAATCCTCCTCTTGGTCCCCATCATGGACCAAACTGTCCTCCCCCCCCTCCTCATGGACCATATCACCATCATCCTCCCCATCATGGACCAGACTGTCCTCCCCCTCCTCACGGACCACATCACCATCATCCTCATCCTCACTGTGGACCACACTGTCCTCCCCCCCACCCTCATGGACCCCATCACCATCATCCTCCCCATCATGGACCAGACTGTCCTCCCCCTCCTCACGGACCACATCACCATCATCCTCATCCTCACTGTGGACCACACTGTCCTCCCCACCCTCCTCATGGACCACATCACCACCATTCTTCTCCCCATGATGAACCACAAACTCTTCCCGAAGAGGAAACACAACATTCCCCTTCTGCTCCTCCTCCTCATGATGAACAACAGAATCCTCTTCTTGGTCCCCATCATGGACCACATTGTCCCCCCCACCCTCCTCATGGACCACATCACCACCATCCTCATCCTCGCTGTGGACCACACTGTCCTCCCCACCCTCCTCATGGACCACATCACCACCATCCTCCCCATCATGGACCACACTGTCCTCCCCACCCTCCTCATGGACCACATCATCACCGTCCTTCTCCCCATGATGGACCACAACCTCTTCCCGAAGAGGAAACACAACATTCCCCTTCTGCTCCTCCTCCTCATGATGAACCACAGAATCCTCCTCTTGCTCCCCATCATGGACCACATTGTCCCCCCCACCCTCCTCATGGACCACATCACCACCATCCTCCTTCCCATCATGGACCACACGGTCCTCCTCTAGGATGCCCTCCTCATTTCTATCATCACTATTACAGACATCGCTGCAACAAGAAAAGCCTATCAGGAAAGTACTTTCCATTCCAAATAACAGGAGCTGTCTATCGCATTCCAGTCCTAAATCAGCAGGATTCTCTCATACCTCCCACTTTAAACTTGCCTGAGCTATCCCAAAGCAACTCTCACTCCTCCAGCACTGGTGAAAGTATTCCCTTCACTGGCTCAAGGCTAAAGGAGATGCCAGAAGCTCACAGTTTTCCAGATCACCCTACACAATCAAAGTCATGCCCAGGAAACCCTACAGCTGCTCTTCCAAAAATTTTGCCTTTATTTCCACACAGTTCCCTGGCAGAACATTCTCCTACACGAGCTCAGAGAAAGATATTCCTGGCTTGAGAGCTGCAAGGCCAATGGCAGTTGTACAATGGATGAAAAGAGCACACAGAGAAGATGAAAAAGTTTACAATTTCTAGGGAGAAGAAGCACTGAAATTAATGATTAATATCCCAACTTGCCTCTTGATCCCAGCTATATCAGACTTCACTGTAACTGAAAGGCTCAAAACTTTGTGTTCCTCAGATAATGTGAATGGGTACAAATCTCACCAGTCAACAATGCTTCTTTAGCTCTAACTAAAATAAAAATTCCCTAATAGTGAAAACTGCCATCTAAGTTTTTTCATTTTCTCATCATTCATAATCATAGAATCATAGAATGGTTTGGATTGGAAGAGACCCTAAAGCTCATCCAGTCCAACCCCTGCCATAGGCAGCGACACCTCCCACCAGACCAGGTTGCCCAAAGCCCCATCCAACCTGGCCTTGAACACTTCCAGGGAGGAGACATGCACAGCTTCCCTGGGCAACCTGTGCCAGTGCCTCACCACCCTCATAGTGAAGAATTTCTTCCTAATACCTAATCTAAATGTATCTCTTTCCAGTTTAAAGCCATTACCCCTTGTCCTATCACTACCTGAAAGGTAGTCCTTTTCCTATCCAGTACCTGAAAGGCTGCTATAAGGTCTCCACAGATAATTATAATGGACTTCTCTGATGAAATCTGACCTAGAAGAAATTTGACCACCTTCCATAAAAAATGATCCATGGCACTACATTCATGTTTTATGAAGATTCAAATAAAATAAAATATGCAAGCTTTCTTTTTTCTTGACACAGTTGCCAAAGTTTTGTCTTTTTTGTTACTATGGATGTTTAGATGTACAGTAAACATCCATGAGACATACTCTGGCATAACTTGACTAATGGTGGCTGGGCTACCACAGTTATTTGGAAAAGGTCTGAGAATAGTTAATGACTTGTAGTGTAACACTGCAGGGTGGCCTGCCATAGTCACCAGAAATACTGCATTCAGGGACAGCCCTTTTCAAATAGTTCATAATTGCTCTCAGGGGAGAAGAAAAGCAGATGCAGGTAATAACTCTTTCATGTAAATGTTTTCTTTATCACTGAATATTCCTCACTTGAAACTGAGTTGCGAGGAACAGGAAGAAAGAACACTGGTGCCTCTTTGTACTCTGATCATCATCAAGGTAAAGTTCATTCAGACAGATCTGGAACCCAATAAACCAGTTCAGAACAGTTATAAGCAAGAACATGGGATTAATCTCAAAAAAAATAGTAATTTGGTCCTCAAAGTAGCTTTTTAATGGCATAAAGTAAAATATAGTGTGAGGGCTACACTGAAGAAAAAGAAACAAACAGCATTTTGTGTAAGGGAGTGAAGGTTGTCTAATTTTTAAAAGTGCATTATCAAGTACAATCAATCTTCTTTCTGGCATAGTTTATCCACAAATTCTGTAAAGTGCATTTTCTTTAACCAAAACTGGTACAAAGACACAACTTGAGCAGTGGAGCTGAGGCAACCCCGAGGTGCACACAGGTTCCAAGCAAAGCTCTTTGGTGCTCAGCACTGGAGACAAGCATCAGATGTTCCCAGCCAGCTCTAATTCTTGCTCTGCCAGACACAGGCAACATTACCTAATGCCCTGTTCTTAGGCATCGATTTCCCTATCTGTAATCACAGAATCACAGAATTTTAGGAGTTGGAAGGGACCTTGAAAAATCATCCAGTCCAACCCCCTGCCAGAGCAGGATCACCTAGACAATGATAAAAAATTTTTATGAAGACTGACTAATCCATGGTCCAAAGGCAATTGCCACATGGCAGCAAAGACGGACCCTTCAAATAGTAGCACGAAGGACAAGGACAAGGTTTATCAAGCGTTACTGAAGAGTTACATGACATTCAGTGATATACATCCATCCAAAGCCTTTTTTCAAACATGTTCTGACTTCTCAGAACTATTCCAGTCTGAACACTAAACAGATCTATAAAATTTACAGGGTTGTTGTCCAGAACCAGAACTTCATTGCCACTGCGTCCTTCTTGGGTCATAACAATTCTAAAATTCATTCTCAGTAGCAGTTTATACATTAAGAAAAGAAGCCAGAAAGCTACAAACATTCTGCTTTCTCTTTTGCTCAGGGGCCATCCTGCTTAGCCTAAACCTGTGCCCAGCTGCAGCCATTTAGCCTGTTATCTTGACGGCAGGTGGATAACCTCAGTGTCATTCTGGTGACCACACAAAGTTTATTTAGACAAACTCAGAAGTTTATTTGCAGTATAAACAAGGTATGTTGAGAAACAACCAACCCCAGCAATGCGCTTATTCTGTTTACTTAGCTACTGCTCCTGAAAAACAGAAGTGACTAAACCCCTGTTAGGCATTCCTTTTCCATTTGGTTTTTAACAAGCCTTCTAATTCAGGGGGCCTTTTTTGTCCAGTCATGAAACCTTTCATTGTGCTAGCACTCTGCTGTAGTTTTTTCTCTAGCAGAGCCAACCCTCTCCCATTTGAGTTTCTGGACTGTGATGACCCTGATGTCTTTAAAGCTGTCGACGCAGCACTGAAGAAATACAATGGAGAGGGAGCAACTGGTAATCAATTTGCTCTATACACGGTGATGGAAGCCAAGCGAACTGTAAGTAGACTTTGCAAAAAAAAAAAAGTGTTGGAATTGTTTATGCACTCTGAATCAGATTTGTTCATAAGACAGCAAGCATGGCAGCACAGTGTATTCCAAAAACGTTCTAAAAAAATCAAAGAAATGACTTGCACAGTAAGATACTCGTTACCATGACAAGCAGGGATGTATATTATGTTCTTATCAGTGGAACTATGCGTGCTGGTGAATTTCTTATTAATGCAGAACTAAAGAATAGAAAATTTCTATTACTAATACAATTTGTTTTACTAGTTCACTCTGTTTTTCCTTTCTCTTTTGGGAATTCTACCCCTTTTCATCATCAGTAAGGTTTTCAGATCAATGGCAAAAACACACTTACTAAAAAACCTGAATATTATCTTGACTTGAGAAGAGCTGGTATCAGACATAAAAAAGAATGACCTGATAAAATTTGGCAATAGTCTGAATAAATTGTTTGTGACTATTATTTGATTGACACTAGTCCTGAGTCACAGATCTACCTTAAAGCACTAGGTGGTACTTTAGTCAAATAGGGTGACAGCTAAAATTACAGAAGAGAAAAAGAATGAAGTATGAGCCTTTGCCTGGAGTCCTTCTGTATAGTGTTAATCTAACAAAAGAGTATTTACCTCTGAGAGGCATACAAAGATGATATTACCATAATAATGACAAGCATGACTTTACTTGAAAACAACATTAGCATTTTTTTCTACTCGATTGGATTTTCAGATGTAAAACACAAGAAACCCAGTGTCAAAGGGAATATTTGGCACTCCAAAATCACAACACGTTTTTACCCAGATAGAAACTGACCTCAGAACAGGGACATGAGTTGCTGAACACCTTACAGCAAAGTGCCCACATCTCCTGGTGCTTAGCCTCTGGTTTTTCTCTTTCAGACTCAGGAGATTTGAGCATGTAGGGACAAAGACTAAAATCTGGCAGACCTTTTATGCAATTAATAATAAAAAAGTGAATGGTCCCTCCATCTTCACTGAACTACATGCATCTTTAACAATAGCCATATGCAAACATCTTTATATCAGAGCTGTAACACCATTTTCCTTTTGCTGACGTTCCCAAAGAAGAGAGATGTTTCAGTATTTTATCTCAAACTATGTTCTATTTTTAAGAATACATATTTATCACAATTATTATTTATCTTTTCTTCTCTAGATATCCATCTTTCCTTTTCTTAAAAGATCTGAGGTAGAAATCAGTTATTACTTTGAATCATTGATCTGACTATGATGTTATATAAAAATCAGAGAAAAGGAGTCTGCAATAGAGATTTCCTCATATTCTTTTTCTAAAAAGAGTATAGATTTTATTCATCACTAGTGCCACAATGTTGAATGCATTAATTAAATAGCTGGTTATTACATATTCATGTACATTCATTATTGATAAGGTAATAAAACATAAAAGCTGACTGGTGAAAGACTGAACCTGCCCCAGTTAAAGGCATAGCTGTTCATAGTAATAATGAAATAAACTAACAGCAAATAACATACAGAAGCAATGTCTTTTCTCACATATTTCATTTACGCACTGACCTGATTTATTGCAGAGTTAGAACACTGTAACAGATAACAGAATTTGGCTTTTTAAAGTTTACATCCCCGATAGTATAATCTGATGCAGCTCCATGAATGTTGATTTATATCTGCTGAGGATCAAGTTCATTATATTTTTAGAGACCCTTTCATCCTGTGCAACCATTATATCAGGTACCTCCACACCTCTTCATAGCTGTAGCAATGCGCAACAGGAATTGAGAGAACACCAAATGTAACACTGTGTCTACACCAGCATAAATCCAGTGTATTCCAGCCACATCAGCTCAGCATCACTTTCTTGGTACCACTGAGGCAAGAGTTGTCATTTAATTCCCCGAGCAGTACCATTTGAGGATAACCAGTGTTAAAGTACAGCATCTGCCTGTGTTTGTATTTGAAAAGGCACATTGACAGAGCACTTTTAGTAGCAGTAAAAGATTAGCAGCTCCTGGCTTTATATGTCCTCTAAAGGATGAACCACAAACCTTGCAGTGTGTTAATGTTGCCTGCAGGCACAGGCTCACTACCCAGTTTTTGGCAAGGAGAAAATGCCCTCTACTGATTTACTGACATCAGAAACACTTCCACTGGCCAGGCCAAACTCTCCTGGATACTTTGTCTGTATTTCATCTTGTGAGATTCCTCATGAGCAGCTCAGTCTTTAATGCCTACAGGAAAATTGCAGGCACTGCAGAAGGCTTTCTCCAGAGCAGATGCCCTCCTCATGGTGCTCCCTTGAGTAGGGAGGGCAGCATAAGTACCCTGTTACCATAGAGCAAAGGCAGTTTGGGCACTGCCAGGCTGCCTGAGGGTTGTTGGCTGCATTTCTGGGCTGCCCGTAGAGATGTACAGAAGGGAAGCAGACAGATCTGGGAGGAGGCCAAGGGTGAAAGTGCAGGAGTCAGACAGGAGCACAGTCCAACATGATATTCAGGCTAAATACCCAAGCAGCAATCCAAATTTGCTTATTTGTAGTACATTTGAATATGAGTATAAAATCTAACCATGTTTTCCTGGTTTTAAAACCCTTGTTAAACAAGTTAACAGGAAGGTAGTTGAGCATACTGTATCTATTGTGTCAACATACTGTAATTGCAACGGCTCAGTAATATAATTAGATAAGTTAATTATTGAACTACCGAGATTTGGGACATCTTGCATGGAGACCAGCAGCTAATCTGAAACCATACTATAAAATACAAAGTAACCAATAGATAGTATTTACCTTTTGAAGCTCTTATCTTTTTGCTTGTTTTATTACCATGTAAATGGTGACGTGCACATTGTTTTTATCCAGGCAGGTCCTGACGCACAATTCTATGTGAAATATCGAATACAAGAAACCACTTGTGCCAGTGATGGGAGCAAACTCTGGCAAGACTGTGATTACAAAGCAGTTGCAGAGGCTGTAAGTATCTGTCCTCTTTGAAAGTTCTCTGGACAGTAACATCAGCAAAATTACCAGGACTGCAGTAGAATTTTTCTTTTTTAGCTGTGCTGCTTTTGAGAGCTTATAGGACTAAAGTACAGTACAGAAATGTTTACAACTCTAAAGTTACCATTATAATCATGACTTTACCATTTTATCACTTGATATGTGCAGAAGGGAACATTTCAGTGCTTCATTATGATGGTTCACAATAAATTCAACTAAGTTATATGTGCTGTGAGAGTGTGAGGGCTGTAAAACTTTCAATTCATTATGAATAATGGAAACTTGCACAACCAAATTGACTTCAGATCTACACCAATAAAATTACTGACATGGAAGCCCCTATGGCAGAAAATTTACCAGAGGGTGTTTAGCAGTGCAATGCATGTCTGGCTCATGCTACGAGAGAGCATGTAGAGGAGGTACAACACAGGCACACACAGCATGCAGCAACACTGCACATTGCCAGTGGAAGTCACTGTTATTTCACAGTACACAATGCAAAGAAAGGGATGATGGTGATACTCGCGTTTGAATCTGTGTGAAATGCCGTGGTCATTGCTGCGTATCTTGTACTAGCAGAGAGGAAACTAGGTAAATACACAATTTATACGGACTTTATTTATGAGGATGAGTTCATTTCCATTATTCTGACTGTAAATCCTTTAGTTAATTGATATGCATCAATCATGACACAAAGCAATCTTTCAAATTACCCACTCAGTTCATCCCCTACTCTCCTTACAATCAGCAAAACCAGTTACAAACAGCAAATTAGACCTTACTACAAATGTACATATGAACCTGTTCCCCAAACTCAATTTGCAGCTGTCAGCTCTGCTCAATAGCTAGAGGAATACATAGCACTGTGTTTTTCTTCAGCAAGTTTAAGACAAATGTTCTCATATGTTTTTGCAGAAAAGAGGAGAATGCACAGCTCGAGTTCACATGAATGATGCTGAAAAAACAAGTAATGTTTCACAAGATTGCAAAATTTTTCCAGGTATGTAACTGTTTGGGGCAGCATTCAACAAGTACATTGACAAATAAGAATGAGAAAAATATAATAGCGACATTTTCAGGTAATTTTAAAGGTAGGAGCTCCTTATCATTCTATTCAGACACTTATAAATAATATTCCATAAGTGACTACGTGTTAAGGATAAAATTTCACTTCACTGTTATATGCATATAGACTAAGTCAGTGAAGCATTGGCAGTTTCTATCTAGGGTAACGGAAACCAGCATATGCTTATGTAGTAAGCTTCTTCCAGCTCTGGAATTATACCAAGTTAAAATGAATTTCCTTAAGACCAAAAGCATATCAGTAACTTAGAGGCTAGATACAACTAGTCACACTTTAATTTTCTGTCCTTACTTATTCAGTACAAAATTGTGTCGGAAATAATTAGAAAAAAACTCTATATGTCAAAATTGTACCTTAATTTTCTCCAAACTAAAAATGGCTAAATTATTTATGTTAAAGTTTACCAGAACAACGATTTACCCCCAGCCAAAGAAAAGCAACAAAATAAATAATTTACAAAATAAAAATCTAGTAGTGATGTAGTTATGTAAGAGAGACCGTGATATCTTTTAGACCTTAAAAATAAGTAGTACTACATTTCTAGCCTATAAGACATTCGTATATGACTATTATGTTCACATACTAATTTCCTTTATTAGAAAGAGATTGTTTTAAAGCTTTGCAAGTGAGATCTCTATGTGCCTATGCTTAGTGTTCATGTAAGACATATTCAAGCTAGTTTTAAAATATTCATCTAACTGGTAGCAGGGAGCTAAGAGTATGTTAACTACAGAAATATTTACCATTCTTTCTGAGATGTTTGGCAGCTTATCTTTGTTGCTCTTAGTTATCTTGTTTAAAGCTTAAATGGCTCTACCTACAGCCAGTGTCCTAGGAACTGCAGTACACACAAACTCCATGTTCTGCTACTGAAAAAAAACCCTCATTGGTTTAAAAGCCGCTTTTGTAGGGCAATGGCGACATCTAGTCGCCAATAAAAGGTGTGGGAGTTCCACAGACAATGCATGGGAAATTTGCATTTGAATCTTTGCTTAGGAAGCTAAAAAACATACATAAATTAAATGAATCGTGTATTAAGCCTAAGAAGCTCATGTCTTCTTACCAAGTTATAGGAACTCTGAAAAAAGAATTTTTTCAGATTTTTTCAGTACTTACCAAAACACTGAGACAACAGTGTGGGTTTAGAACTAGGTGTGCTGTTATTTTTTATCTCCTTTGTGACTACTCCCTGAAAACATGGTCACATTTTTCTGTAATGTATATGTTTGCCATTAATGAGTCAAAATAAGTGATGCTAGAAATATGAAGGGTCAGACTTTGTTCAAGTACACCTTGGAGAGCTAAGACTAAATAGCGTTGCTTACATGGAGATATTCCAAAATGTACAGAGGGGCCAAATCAAACCCAAAGGATTCGAACAGAAAGAGTGAAACAGTAGACCCTAACTGGTGAGGACTTCCCCACCATGTTGGGTGCCATACTGGTCAGACTTCTTGGTGGAACAGTTTGATCATGCTGACCCTGGACTGGTTTCCTGGCTGGTGCAAGCTGGCATAACTCCAGTGAAGCCAGTTTATGCCAGCTGAGCATCAGGCACACAGATTTTACTTTAATTCCACCAAGACCACATATTGTCCCACTTTCATTCTCAAGCTCACTGAATCATGAAATTAATTTATGTACTGAACTATAAAATTAATTTATGAAAATCCAATCCATGATTACTAGAAAGGAAAGAGAGTTAATAGGATTAGTAGTAGGAAACAGAAGTTGGAGCATCCCCGTCAAGCTTGTCTACCTGCAGCCAATCCAGCTGGTTAAGCCTGAAGGTAACACCAAGTGGTAAGGGGCAGCCAAAGTGACTTGCAGGGGGAGTTCACATAGCACAGCAGTGGAATAGTTCAGCTACAGTCCCTAAGGAGCTCAAAGTCAGAGCAGTTCACTCGGGTAAGTCAAAACACTCCTGCCAAAGTCCCCATCCTGAAATGTGGCGAGGACAGTGAGCAGCTGCGCACAGTGGGCGAGCTTTGAATAATCTGGAGAGCATCTCCTGAGTTGTAGCCTCTGCTGGCTCTTCCCTGACTGAATGAATGATGATCCTTCCTTAACGGTGTCAAAACTAGACGCAAGGTTTTTCATAACATCCTAATGTTCTGGATGGCCCCTACCACCACATACCAAAGCACATTTTGAAACACAATTAATGTCTTTGCAGGCCCTGCAAGTGAAACGTGGCTTTTGCTGTTCACTCCAACTAAAAGCAGGAAAGGTTCTTAGTCACTGAACCTTTTTTCTCATTCCCAGATAGGAAAAATGAAAACCTGAGGTTGGTTTACATGAAGTCCTATATTTTTTTTGTTTGCTTCTTTTCCAGCTACGCCAAAGATAACACTTACTGAGGCTATGTGTCTTGGATGCTTTCATCCTATGTCAAGTGACAGCTCAGAACTGTCAGACATTTTGAAACAAGCCATTCAAAAGTTTAACAGGCACAGTGCTGAACCCATGCTTTTTAAGCTTGTGGAAATAAAAGAAGCTAAAAGACAGGTTTGTATATTATTTTCATCTAAATTTTACCAAAAAAAAACCCCGAACCAGGTACCTTGGTTGCTTTATGTACACCTTTCTGATTTTAAGGTGGGTTATATTTCACAATAAAAGCATTAAAAAAATGCATATAAAGTGTAGACCCTGTAAATAATTCTCTTCATTTATAAGGAATCATAAACAGTTACCTACTGGATTTTCAGACCTGTCAACTTTACAGACTGATAATAAACACATTATTTCTTTATCTGCAGTTGCATTTAACCAGTGTTAAGCACCAGTATATTTGCATTCAGTGCTGACACAGACGTCTTGTGCCATCTCAGATGCTCTCGGGTATTTCACTTGGCCTCTCCCTGAAGCTCCAGCAGGAGCAGATCTCTCCTAGGTCCTGTGCCAAAACTGCCAGCCTGCACAGATGTCACATATACTCTTATGGCCTCTCAAACAGCACCAGGCATCTATGTTTTTGCAATGTAATAGGACCCATATGTCAGCAGCTACTATACGCTATAGGATGGGTAAACCTCATACAGGAAAAATGGGTAAGAAAAACAAAAAGCCAGCATGCCACTTGCTGAAAGATCTCTGCACATAGGAATATCTGCTTTGCAAGAAATTTCTGCTCAGATCACAGAAACTGTGTGTCATCTGGTATTCCATGCAACAATTATTTCTCTGTGAAAGTCTCTACTATGGATTGGAATGACGTTGCTAGTAACTAAAGTTTCTTATTTAGTTTTTAATTAGTATATAGCGCGACACCAGACAGACCCTTTTCTTTAAATGTGCATGCATTTACTTAGCCAAAAAGCACCTTCTGGTCTCATGTCAATTTGGCCCATGATTTAATTCATTCTGTCCTCCTTCTCTTTGTTGATGACAATGACACTCTCGGCTGAAAGACAAGCTTGTACAACATTTAAGCCACATGACAAAATGTCACAGACAGACTGCAATCCAGCAACTGGAAAGGGAACCATCATGTCACTTCTGGCCAACAGAGACTAGTTGGAAAGTTGATAAATTTGATTCTTATCTCTCCTTTTTAATCCAATGCTACATGACCTAACACTGTGATATGGAGAGATTTCACGGGTGAGATGCAGTAGCCACAGCGAGGAAAACTGAACGGCTTCCTGGAGAGAAAATTTTAAAAAGGGTCATAAATCTAGACAAAACATTGGGCAGTGGAAGGTAAAGCCCAAGGCAGACATAATTATAGGTAGATGATAAATGCAAGACTCTCAATAACAAATGATGCCAGCAGTATAAAGTTACATTATTCAGACACTGGTTTACTCTGGTGCATGCTCAGGAACATAGGACTTGCCAAGCTGTATTAGTGTAGTCATCTATCTAGACCAGCTTGCTGGGAGAAATAAGTAGCAGATACTTTGGAGGAGAGTGCAAGAAACCAAGCACTATGAGGCTGCAGGCTTGCCAAGAGAAGTGAAATCCAAATACAAAGCACACCTCTGATATATGCATCACTTAGTTTACTTTATGTAACACAAGGACAAGAATTTTTTTTGCTCTCCATGAATACTCTATGGCTCAATGATGGCAAAGTGATTTGATGGATGAAAGGCACTAGCAGAGTTGTTTTGCTTTCTTTTCTTCTTAATCCCATGTAATAGTTTAACTTCCGAGTTTGTATTGGTTTACATAAAGTATCTCTTAAATATCTGTTCCAGGTGGTGGCTGGATGGAATTACATCATTAAATATGAAATCAAGGAGACTAATTGCTCCAAAGACCAATTTGAAGATTTAACTCCAGAGTGTAAAACCACTTCTAAAGGTGTAAGTAATGTTTATCAAGGAAATAGTGTACTAACAAACAATCCCTGAGATCTGACTCAAGAAATTATTTTATAGTCTTGCTTGCCTTTGTGAATGAAATTTAAATCCAGGCTTATAGATAACTGTCTACTTATGCAACTGGAACATCCACATTTGCTCCTGAATCAGTGTCTAAGATGACCGCTGAAATGTTTACAGATTACTCTATAGAATCTAAACAGCTTCACCCAAATAAATCACTTGAGAAGTTCCTATCCAGATGTTCAAGGAGCTGCAGAGGGTACAACCCAAAAAGAGATAATTAAAATTAACACTGTTTGTCCAGCGTAACATATATTTTCTAAGAAGAGTAAGTAGCTGAATTATTACTTAACCTCTACTACAGTCCAAATAAGAGAGCTTCAAAGGAAATTTATTAGCATACATACTCTAGCAAAACAGTGCTGCAAAACCAGGTATTTCCTTAGCTTCTCTGACCTGGAACAGAATTAACTGTATCAAAAATAGAGGATTGCTCTCTCAACCAACATCCCTGAACCAGCTCACCAGGGAGCAGACAAATGCTTCTGCAAACATAAGGTAGAGAGCAGGAACACAGTCATAACCTACAGTGGTGGTGAATGGGCAGGGAGGAACCCCAGGAGTCCTGACCTGCATCTGTTTCAGCTGTTGTGGAAGTGCGCTGTTGTGTGACATTCAAGAGCCTCTCCTGTTCGAAAATTACTCCTTGGATATCTCAAGAACATTTCAGTAGCATTGATCAAAAAGGAAAGAATGGCGACACTGTGGGAAATAATAGGAGAAAGAGAAGCTGTCTGGCTGAAGCAAATCTCCCCATTACCCATGCTTGCTCTTAAACCTTAAGCTCATTCACACTGCTTTGGTCATGCAGGGTTTATAGGATTGGATCTTTATCACTTATCCCCTGACCTGTTAAGTAGCCTTGCTAATATATCATTGTCAGATATTATTAGAATATGATATTCCAAGAATATTCCATGCCTTGGTATGACAGAATTGCATGGAAATTGTTTCATACCTTTGTTCAGCTTCGTACAGTTCATTTTGAAATGAGAAGACCAGAACTGCATCCTGTATTCAACATGCACGTGAACCAGGGGGTTATAGTGGGGTACAATGTCATTCTCTCTAAGCTGGAGAATAAGCCTTGACGTTATTTTTTAATTATTTTTTTCTAAATCACTACGAAGCAGATTTTTTTATGGACAACATTTTCAAGTATCTGTCATAGCCCTAAGTTTGTGATCTTGAACTGTAGCAGTCTTCCCTCATAGTCCACAGTCAATTCATTTCCTTTAGAGTCTTTGACAAAGGACATCACTGAAACCTTTTCAGAAATCTGTGTATACTTTATCAACAGGTCTCTTTACCCACTTTTGTTGATGTTTTTGAGCAGCTTCGGCAAATCTGCAAAATACAACTCCTGTTTACAACAAAAACCCCAGTCTCTCCTTGATGTACTCATCCCCCCTAGTTCTTTCATTATTACCATTTCTAATTACTTGAATGGTACAGACAGAATCACAGAATCACAGAA